AGGTGTCTTTATTTGGCCCAGCTCACTTGTCACACCTCTGACATTTGGCGTGAAACAGATCGTGCCCATCAGAGGGTTTCACTGGATAAATAACAAATTACACTGATCCTATCACAGTAACCTCATGACCTGAAGATACACTTCTCAAGAGGGCAGATGTCTGGGTTACATATTCTCATTGCTCTGAATTCTGCCTGCTTAAGGATCAAAGTGCAAGTCTCTCCACAAGGATCAACCATAATATTTAATGTGAAAGTAAATGATGAGCTCCACGTAAACAACGCAAGTGGTCACATTTGCAATCCTTCTTCCTTTAGGTAGGACTTGAGGTACTCATGACAGCAGATCTGAAGAGGGCTGTTTTCTGGGTTGTGAAACTGTGTGGTCCGGTAGAAGTTTACCAGTATTTCAGATGTACTTGCTGTCTTCATCATCAGTGTGACTTATAGCCATCATGATTGGAGGAAGCTAGTAACTCTGAATTGTCAGTAAACTTCAACCAGACTACATGGCACGTGAACTCAGAAATGAGCCATCTCCTTACATCCTTTGGACAAAAGACTTGGTTTGGCTCTAGAGGTGTTTGGACACGTTGATAATACAAAACTGAAATGTGTCCACTGGGATTTGTTCCTAGCCACCCAATTCAATTATTCATCATGCTAGCATAGTCATCAGTAACTGTCTACACAGTATCTATAAGTTTAAAAAATCAGAAATTAACTCCACTTACCATTCTAGTTGATGTTAATTTGGCAGGAGTAACCTATTAAAGAAGGATTTATAATTAGTGAAGCATTTTAACATCAATCACCTTCTTAACTAACAAATACACACAATTTAGTTCAGGCTCAAAGGGACCAATTATCCTATAAAAGTGGGATAGGATAATAACAATGAATAAAAGTTACAACTACTGAAATAATAGAAATATTTGGAAGTTAAAACCAGTATTATTATTATAGAAAGTAGGAAAAATTAAATTTCTCCTTTTGTGAAAAGTTATGTCACAAGACATAGCTCATCCCCTTCTGTATGGTGTAAGGAGTACTGAAATGCAGGTATCAGAATCTAACAAATTTCACTAAAGTATTTTTATCAAATGAAGAAGAAACTACAGTATCATTAAAAATTAAAGCAAATTTTAAACAGTTCATTTGCAAATCTGAACTAAAATATGGAACATAAGAGAATCAAGGCAATGACACACACACACACACATAGTCAATGTAGAAAAGCACTTAACACAAACCTACTTACCTAATTACATCAATCAGTTTAAAGTTTTCTACAAATTAATTTATATCTCCAGTGTATGTTTATGAACCTTGAATGTTTCAGTCTTCAGTATAAAAAAAGGAGGAAAGGCACTCCGTCTTACCTGAATAAAACTTCAAAGGCAGACCACAAACAGCTGTTAAAGACAAAAAAGTATCACCCAGCCCCATATCGATTAGTAACGATGCCACCTACTCCTGCCATCTATGCATATCTCGAAATAACACAAGAATACAGGGGTGCCAATGGTTGGAACTGCATTTTACCAACGTTAAAGCTAAAAGTAATGAATTGTAGGAGTTTTTCGTTCACATAATTCAGCAAAGGAACCATTTCTTGCTTGGCTATATTGTTTTATTCTACACATTAGTAAAAGCGTTGAGAGGTGATCCTGGTTATTTCGGTTTAGCATCAAACATTACACCTTAAGATATGAACTGCCAGCGAAGAAATGTTAAAATGGACATGCCCCTACATGAACGACACTAGGACTTCTTTAAAATTTGACTTGCAAGAAACGTTTTAGAATTACGCAGGTTACCAATACTGAAATTTTGAACGAATGTGTAAAATTCAAGGCTATATAAGGATGGCAAATTACCAATTTTAAGCAATACTAAAAAAATGCATATTACAAGATGTTACCTGTGCTTAAATGTGGAACGTTTTCATAAACTGGGAAACTTGAGGAAATATTTAAGAAAACGGCTCTGACCAGGAGAGGTGGGCAAGGAATTACAGAAGTTCATCAGAAACAATGAGAGTGACATTTTTTCGTTACATATAACACAACGGAAAGACGAAGGTGCAGTTTATAGAAGTACAAAGTATAACCAAACATATTTGTTTGTTCCACCATTACTGAGAAGGAACCGTGTACGAGAATTTTACTTCACCTTCCATGAACTACAGTATTCTGTCGGTTCTTTAATCGTTTGCAATTTTAATGTTGTTTGTTGTAAGAAATAATGCCAGCTAAGTTCTTTGGCTTGTGAAAACACTATTTCCAACATAAAAGAAATTGTGATACAGCAGTTTTAAAAGCAGAGTTGGCTGACCATCCAGTACGATAAAATTCGTGCAGGTGACGTCTCATACAAAACTGAAGCTGTGTCCATTGAAAGTTTTTTCAAAGATATGACAATTTATGCTAACTATGGCCCAACTTGTTCTGGCATAATGATATGAAACATGGGCACCATAAAAATCTGTACAATATTTAGAAGCAAAAAAGTTTTTTGGCTGGTATGCAAATTGGAATTATTTATTTTGGTTCTAGAAATAAATGACAGGTTAGGAAGTGAGGAAAAGCCTTAACATATTTCTTGATTTCAAACTTGTTCATGATGACAACAGTTTACAAGAACTATAGTCATGTAAACACTAAAACAAAAATCCAGGTTCCACAAAGTTGCATGAATTACCCTATTATTCGTCTCGAACTTCAGGTCATCCTGAGTTTCAAATATCCATAGCTACATAACCTTTCAAAATGAGATCATATTCATGACATTTCACTGTGAACGGTGACAGAAATAAGGTCCGGAAGGATTTATATTAAGTTGCCAGGTTTTAAATCCTTCTCAGATTTGCATAGCACGCATAAAAATTGTGAACTGTGACTACTTATACAGACTACAACAAAAATAAAGCACTTGAAATATTCTGTCTAAATAAATTAGTAACACCTTTATACGGCCTACCAAAATCCTACTCCAACCCTGAAGATGGAAGCAGCCTGGTGCCCTAAAAGAGCATAAGTGACATAATATTGCACAGTGCAACATCATGAGACCACAAAATAAAAATGTAGTGGTTTTAAAATACTCTTTATTTAGAAAACTGCAATTTCTTTGAAACTGGTTTTATGGCTCTTACTGTTGCATCTTAAAATGAACCCGAGTGTAACTTTATTAAGCGTGGACACTGCTTACTGCCTCATAAAGGCTGAAACATGTAAAGTAGTAAACAATGTTAATATTCGCATAATTATGTCTCAACATTTGATACAAAGAATATATTTCTGCCAGTATTCATAAGATATGATGGTGATAAAAATAACATTTGGTGATATCCTTAATATTAAAAAAAGGTTTTGTATGAGTCAAAACATGTGCACCACAAAGTCATACAATATCATTCCTAAAAGGATCCAGTACAAGAAGAATGTGATTTCTCTTTAACTGACTTTTGAAACACTACAAAAGGATGTTTAAGAATTCAAACTCCTACTTAAACCTCAATAAGGCATTTCTTTTCACATATTAATGAAACTAATGATTGAAGTCATGGTATTCTTCCACCTTTGATCTTTTTATGCGCGAAGAAACAACTTCAGTCAAACCTGGACCCATCACACTTTTGCACTGGACCCTTCAGCTGCAAGAGATGAACACTTGAAGGGGAGTACAGCAACAACAGAAAATTTTTCTGTCTTGGTTCTGGCACACAATTACAGAAACCCAGACGCACTGGAAAGTCCTTACAGCAACATTCCAATATACACATAAACACAAAGAGGATTCTGTTGTCTTACAAGAATGGAAAAAATCCATCATTGCAGTCAGATATGGCAGAAAATGGTTTATGAATTTCTGTCACCAATTCAAGATTGTTCTTTATCCACAAAAATTCAGATAAGTTTTCCTACTGTTATCACAGTGAATGAACACTTAAAGCGACAAACTGTTTACATACATTAATATTTTTTTGAAAATGTGTCTCAAGGTGTTAATTAGAAAAAAATTAAATTCACTGGGACATGGGCATATGAACAGGTAACTGGACATGACTCAAGAAAGAAACAGGAAAGAGAAGGGTAAAATGTTTGTCAAGGTGACATAACTCCAAAATAAGAGAGAAAAAATGTAACAGCAGGATAAATAGTAGAAGACGAGACATGTCATTTAGCTAGCAAGATGGAAGGTAACAAACGCTTATGGAAACAGTAAATTAAAAGGTTAACAATCCATTGATGGTAAGGGGGAATAAAAGTTAGGGGACAAGGGAAAGAAATCAGAAAATAAATGCTGCCAAAATCAGAATCATTCAGATTGGAAAAATGTGAGTTAACAGGAATTGAAGATGATCAGAGGGTACATTACGTTATGTACCTCCTGAAGTGTAAATAACGTCAATTTTTAAAAAGAAGACAAAGGATAAACAGACTTCCTGGGAAATTATACAAGACACACACACAAAAAAATACATTGTAGATCCCAACAGTCCCAGAGTAAGGAGCTGTGGCTGCACAAAGTAATGCTAATGCAAGTAAACGGTAAAGATGTCCTCGTGCTTCATTAACCTTCATCAATTGCATCAAAGCTTACGTTCAGCCCAGCTGACCATGCATTGCAGTAAAACACTGCTAAATCATAAATCCCAGAGTTAAAGACTGTCCAGCAGCCCTCATGTACAGGGTTTCAACTCCTCTTCCAAAAGGACACATTAAAGGTTAATCACCACACGACGACATATGGGGAATGGAGGTAGAGCTTTATGCTCTGACCGCATGGGAAGGAGCATAAGATACCGATCGATTCTATAGGAGGCTAAATTAACTCCACGGTCAGCCTGGATGTGATGACAAACAGAAAATTCCCTTAAAACCTTGCATACTGTGTAGTGCATTGGATTATAAAAACAAAACTGTTTACAATATAAAGGACACTAATGCCAAACGCGTTTCCACCTCAAGAAGTCATCATCAGGGGCAAAAAGGGGGAATTAATTCATATAATATGATCAAAAGAATATGGTTCTAAACAGAACAGAACTCCAGTTCAGCAAAGAGAAATACATTTAAAATTATGCAACTTGATCAACAGATCTCCGATGTATGTTTTCTTTTGCCACATACAAAAAAACTGGAAAGGTGCAGAACCCACAGAGTTTCTGAGTTCATTCTCTGCACCTTGGCTTCCTGAATGTCCTAGCAATGGTTTGATATCTTTTTTTTATTTTGTTTTCATATTTTATTGTACTAAATGTTCATATTCATACTATGACATCTTCCACATCCTTGGCTTGAACTGTGAAGGATCTATAGAATCTAAATACGTTCTAATTGCAATTCTAATGCTATACTGACTATGTTCAGATAGCATTCCAGTGAAGTCAATTAACAATTTAGTCTTGTAGTAGTTGCTCTGATAACGTTCCAAAATTAATATTTAACCTTTTAAGGCTGAGTTGTAATTGTGTGTACCACCACCTTTAATGTTCAGTAATTCTGCATTTTACCACAGAATATATTTATGGGTTTCGTATTATTCTCAAATAACACAGCAATTATTTCCATAAACAGCATCAACAACAGATCTTTGGTGATGGGTTGTTTTCTTTACAGTAGTAAATGAATTTTTAATTATTGATTAGATGAACTTCAAACCCAAAGGTTTGATTATTGAGTTCAGTGTAAATAGTGAATCCAACCAAATACAATTGCAACTGTCAGTTATACTCAGCTGTAAATCATTATGACTGTGCACCATCTCCCATAATGCAATGTAGCTCATGAGTTGCTGATCTTGTCTCACGCAGAGATGATCATATGATGAAATTCAACTCAGGTCAAATGCCTTCATCACTTGCAACTGTAAATATGTGAGAAAATGTTTTTCTTTGAGAGGACAAACTATATACACACACTATGTGAAATTTGTTGAACATAACCTCAAAGTTTTATATTGTCACCATGTCTGTAACTGTTGACTTACAAACAGTATTTCATGTGATTTTTAGGTACATTTATAATCTATCTCTGTACAAAATTTCACATATCTAACTATAACTGCTCATTAGTTATCACAGTCAAACTTAAATTTGAAGACAATATTTATAAACCTGCCATGTCCTTGCTTTACATTCTACAGAACAATCACCTGAACAAAACAAAGATAATGTTCTTCTGAGTTGAGATCCCATGTGGACCTAAAAGTGTCTATCTACAAGTCCTCATGGCTTCAAAACTCAAAAGGACAATATTGCCATCTTCATGAGATCCTCACATTTCACATACCTTAACAAAAGTTGAATATTTTATTATCTACTGCTATCATTTCAGGGCCGTACATTCAGTAGTTCTGGAGTTGGTACCACCTTACTAGTCTGAGCATCCACCATATTGTTAATACCTATTTTAGAAAATTAAACAGTACAAATTTGGGGTTACCTTTAATGGCATAGCATAATCAAATTTCACCAAAATAAACCCTGCAGTTCTTGATCTGAAACTTACAAAAAGAATGGCAATACATGTGCACTTCATATTCATGAGGCAAAGAATGCAAACAGTATAGAACACGTTCCACCAGCTCCCATTGACACTGCCACCATCTGTATGTCAACAATCTACCCACAAGGCATGTCAGCCTTCTCATCTTGGCTCCATTCCATAGCATCAATAAACTCCCAGGCTTTCCAGTTTACAGCTGTCACCTCGAAACATAACACATGAACAGAGTATGCCAAGAACATGAGTGACAGAAGATGTTACATAGTGATCAGGATGGTCATAAAGGTCAAATCAGAATTTTTAACTGTCCTTCTTTGTATGACATTGTGCATAAGCACTATGCCATTCATATGATCTGAAGCTTTCACGGCGACCAAGTATAATAAACTCTTCTTTGGCTACCAGCAGTGCAAGTTGGTTTAATGAATAAAACACCAATGTTTGGAAAATCAGGGTACCCTGAGGGTGAGGATAAGGACCGTTCTTGAAATGCTGGGGTTTTCTTCATTAAGCCACCTTGCACAGTTGGTAGCCTGAGAAGAATTTATTATACCATGCCATTCAATTGCACGATTAAAACTGTGATATCAATTTTTCTGTTAGTGTAACCCTACAAGAACCATTTCTCTTGTGAATCCACACTTCTATACAAAGGTCTGAATACAAAACAAAATCTAATCAGACTCTGTAGGTTTCTGATGATAATGCATTATAATATGTAAAATTATTATTTTGCACTCAGTCCATCATCAAATTATAAAGTAACAAAACTACGGCATTTTGAAGTCTGGATTCTGCTTCTGTCTTCAGGTACAAAAGGGGAAGAGGACAGAAATCCTATCTGTTGGCCCCCTAGTTGCGCTAGCCTCAGACCTGTTGCAGACCAGCAGATAGGACTTCTATCCTCTTCTCCTTCTTTACACGATGATGGAAGTAAAATTCAACTTCCAAAATATTGTAGTTTTATTATTTTATGAATTAGATAATAGACAAAGTGCACCATCACCAACAACCTTCAGATTTTTATTAGATTTTATGTTTTGTATTCAAACCATTGAAGAGCCATGTGAATTCACAAGAAAAGTGGTTCTTGTAACTTAAATTAACAAAATGTGAAATTTAATGCAGTTGAAAGAAAAGACTGTTCTGAATGAATGATACATACCTCTGTCACTCAACAGTTTAGCCACAGCCATTTGCCCTGTGACACACCCACACCCAAAGCACACGTCTGCTTCAACTGATAACACAACGAATACACGAGTCATCATAGACAAGATGACAATGACAGGGCCAGTGGCAAGCCATCCTGTAACATACAGACAACATATTAGCATTTCTGTACTCTAATTTTTCATTATATTTCAAAATGATTTTTCAAAATGTTTTGGGTCCTCAGTCCTTTTGATGATTATATGTCTGCTATGTGATATACGAGATCTTCACAGCAATGGGAGATCGGACGGTGGTCTTCTGGACTACAACAATGCAGTGTCTTATATGTGGTTACTACCATTTCAAAGGTACATACTGCCTCCATCTTCACATTCCTAGAAAACAATGGCAACGTGACTGCATAGCTTCATAATCCAGAAGACCACAATCTGTACATGTAAATCTGTTACCACATTGTCTCAAATTCCCCGTGCATTTCCTTCCAAGAGAGGGAAAATAAAGCCAAACTTCGGATATAAGGTTTATTTGTAAGAAATTTGGCAACAGAATTCATTAACGTACCCAGAAGCCAAGCCAAGCCCAACTTCAGTGTACACGGGTACTTTTCGCATATGACGAAAGAATCAGAAATATAAATCAAGTTGTCATCCCTGGAGAAATGGACATGCATGCTGCATCTATACATAAGCCATTTGAAGCTGCAATGAAAGACAAAACAAGCGATGGTAGAATTTTTGAAAGCATTCATTCACACCAACAACGAAAATCAAGTGGCTCGACACTTAACAGTTTTGCACGTTGATAAAAAGTGAATGGGCATTCATGCTGCCTGTGTTAACTTGAAAAAGAGTTTTAAGAAGTTGATGGCACAGAGGACGACCACTCATGTGACAGCAATCCTGACCATGTCAAATCAGCTGATGATGGCAGCAGTGGAGAACAGTAATTATAAGTATACTTCTTAAGGACTGTTTGAGTAGCAAAACATTAACATACACCACTTTCTT